CTGATATCTATAGGTAGAAAGAGAGAGTGGGCGGCTTGAAGACTCAACAAAAAGTTATTTTTTAGCAACAATTAAGAAACTGTAATCAAACTGAGATGTTTAGCTTTACAATTTTGTTGTTAAATGATTCTTTACGTCATTCTTATATTCGAAATATCTTACAATACAATTTTTGAAAAAGATCTGTCATTTTTAAATCCGAAGCACTAACCTACCTTCCTACAAATTGCGAAAACCTTAAGAATAATATATACTTAATTACTCTGTCTAAGTAAGAAAGATATTCTAAACATTAATACATACAAGTAAGTCTCTTATAACTAAAATACCGAAATTATCTTCAGAAACATTCTATATCTATATTTATAGTACTAATTCAGAGGCTGCCATAGATCGACAGTACACGTTGTGCGTTCACAGATCGGTCTCGGTCTACAATCATATAAAATAGTAGGAGCTCATTCAGCTGTTGTTTTCTCTTTCTTCATATTTTGGAGGTCCAAAGTTCATACACACACCTCTAAATGAAATTCTAACTTTTGAACTAACAGCAGATTCTTCTGCCATTCACTTAAAAACATTTAGGTTTTCTGGTGGAAACAGGGTTGCGAAATTTTTAGTTAAAAAATGTGGTACCAAAAATTAGATTTTGACTTTTCAATCCCGATGTTGGGATTAAAAATTTGGTTTTTATTTTTTAAACCAAAATATTTGGATTAAAAATTGAAAATATTACTTTTTGATTTGAGTGAATTGGAAAAAATGTTAATTCTAAAACAAGATCTTTTTTTTAATGCTTTAGATTGAAATTTTTCGGTAGTTGGGAATTTAATTTTTAATCCGGTTTTTGGTATGTGGAATTAAAATTATAAAAAAAAATTAAATCAAATGTTAATTCAATTATTTTTTAATGCATTCATTGCAACCCTGTGTGGAAAATATTTGAAATTATTCTTCATGGTTGGAAACCTCAACGTTATTGAAATGAACTTTTATAGGCTTCAATACGTGTATGTGGCCCTTTTTTCTTGAAGAATAAGCGAATGCCAATCAGTAATGGCATAATTTCACTCAGAGCGCAGCAATTCTCAACCAGTGATTTTGCCTGGCATGTTGGCTACCCGACTGCCTAACACTTGAACTACATAAATCATTTTTTATTTTCACTTTTATGGATTTTATGTGTAACTCCGTGCGGTTTGAATCATGCTGAAGCATCACATTTGGTGGCATGGCTTCCAAATAAATATGTATGAGCGTATCATGATGTCATCAATACAGTTGTGTGTGGCACAGATCCGGTGCATGGAAGCGTTCAAGTGTTTTTGTGTGTGTGTATGAGTGTGGAATGTTTGGCAGGATTAAAGCAGTGCATCAATGTACAAACACTTTAGTGTTCACAATGATTTGCTGACTTGTAATGCTCTGCATGCACAACTGAAAAGCCGGAGCGATTTTTGTAGATTTATGCTCGCTTCGCTCTGAGGATAATTCACCCGGCATAGTCGACAAATCCGTTCATTCATCATCGGCTTGGCTCCACAATGTTATTTAAATGCAAAATTATTTAAGCATAACATGTTTATATATATATTTAAACACAAAATTGTCAAATGCAGAGGCAATCACAGCAAAGTCACAGACCTATGCGTTCAAACGCCTTAAAATATGCTACATGCATTTAAAGTATTTGCTGGTGTTGATGCATTTAATAAACGGCAAGTTGCCTAAATTTTAATTACATATGTACAAAGTTATTTAACCAAATCACCGGTCAATAATCGGTTGCGAATGAATGGTAGACTTGGCTGTGTGGAATTAAAATTATTTACCTCAATTATTATAGATTTGAATTTATGATTAAATATTAAGGCATTTTTGTGAAGTAAAATCAGGATTTATTCATGTGTATGTTAAATGTATGCCATTAAAGTTTTCCGCTACAAAGCATGTAATGCGTAAATTAATGGCTTGTTGTGGTTGCGCAAATAAAAATAGAATCTCTCGTTTCATTCATTTATGATCAGCTATAGCCAAGCGCAATAGCCGATGTCACTTGGTTAACAAGTTTGTGGTGCTCAAGGTTTTCATGGGCTCTCATAAATATAAATTGCTTGAGAATGATTCGAAGTTCATCCATTGGAAGGATCATGCTTATCTCTGCACATTTCCATATGACTCGGAAAGTGGTCCAACATCAGGGTTGCATTGGGAAATCCTTTATTAAATGAAACATTTTGGTGGAATTGTGTGTATTTGGTTTGATAACGTCATTTTTATAGCTTATGCTTTAATTTTTATTAAAGCAGCACCATCCTCCCTAATATCCATACATAATAACTACATTTATATGGATATGACGACTTGGTACGCTCACTTGGGTGATTTTAAAGTTTTCCATTTCACCTTATATTATATGATCCTGCCATGAATATGGTACGGCAAGAATACCGAATGCCGATATGCGATAGATATATGCCTTTTTCCGATAGTCCAACCAACTTTACCTTTCGAACAGCAATTTCTTAACGCGTGAAATTTCGAAAAGTACAAACACGAACTAGACACTTATGAGACTTATCCACCAAAAATATAAAAAAAAATTATAATTTTAACATCTTATCGTCATATGTAATGAGCAATTCATTCAAAATTATCTACATTATACTTCCGTCAATTTATCAAAATCAATACTTCGTTTTAAATCCCCCCCAACAAATAACTGAGCTTTTGCGTGTTGACACTAGCACTATCTCCATACTATAACAGTTATCTTATCGCAATGCAAATAGACGCATAACTGTTGCTATTTACTCAAGTGTAAGTTGCTCAACTCCGTTTCTTATCTTTTTTGACAACAAAAAATGCATGAAACCAAAATTCCATTGGGGTGATGAAACACCGCAATCGACTTTCACTCCTAAACGACAGTGACAGTGTCGACACAAAAACCGATAAGTTCATTAAAGTAACGACTGGTAAAGAGCTCTATTTTGTGTCAATGCCAAACTGTTAACTCCAAATGAATATGATAAGCAATGGAAATGTTCTATTTGTGTAAGGATAAATAATAGAAATAAAGTTGGAGGAAATAAAGTATGTTTCAGCGATTAGGATGTGTAGATAGTAATTGAAATGGATCAGATTCTTTAAAGAGAGTAAATAAGATTCTGCGAAGGAATCAGAACTTCGCACTTTACTCCTCCAAATTTCACCTTAGAGCTTACTTAGAGCAAAATTGTATAAAATTTGACACGAACTGGTCGAATCGTAAAATACTTTTTATAGATTGGCACAACCATTTTATATGTTCGTGTGAAGTATGATGACCATATGCCAATTAGTGTGCGTTTTGCCGAAGTTTTTTACAAGACGAAAAGTTGGTCACATAATTTAACAAAACTTTGTAAAACCTGCTTTGAAAACCTTATGTTGAGACGGATAATCAGCGCAGCTTGAAAACAGGTTATAAGGGTTCAAAGTTATTTTTCAGGCAAAGGTTGCCGGAGATGTATTTATGAATAAATTGTGAACAAGTTATGCAAAATCCGATATGCAAAGTAAGCAGAGCTGAGATTTCTTAATTTTTGCGCTCACTAAAGACGTTGATGGAGTTTGAGAGCGAAGTATGGTAGTTTTTATGTCTCCCCGCAGATATTCTAGCTCTAGATATGTTTAATTTGATAACCTAATGAGTGATACAATTTTTATAAATCTCATGCAAATGTACACACGAGTACATATGTAGAAGAAAAACATACCGACTTTCCAGCAGCTCACCAAAAGTTGGATTATAGCAGCCACATATTCATCTGCGTCGCCACAAAAGCAAAATAAACGTTACTTACAAAGCACCCCTCGAAGTATAATAAATATAATTATTTATATGTATGTGTGTAGCGCCCATCGGTGCTGCGGGTGCTTGTCATCATCGGCATGAGCTACCCCTGCTTTGTCGCCGACAACCAACAAAACAATGGTAATGACGCATGCGCGCCGATGGCTATCAAATAGTATGCGCAATACACACACACACACACATGTGGATAATGACTTTGATGAGTGAGTTGAGCATCTGGTGAACGTTACTGTTTGCAGCAGATGCGGGCTAGCGCCGCTTAGCCATAATGCGCTGTGCAGCGCTGCGTCACTCCGTCATAGGTGTCAATCGGCGCGCAGTGCAACGCGCTCTCTACGAGGGATGTTTGCGAGGAGCGCGTGCGCAAACTCAACAAACCCAAAACAAACAAGCGTAAAACGGCAGTTGTGTTATTTTGGCGCTACTGCGCGGTTCCAACAACCATCTACAACATTACTCAGTTGAAAGAGCAATAAAAATGTACGCGACTAAATGGAATTTATGCGCACACACACACATACTAATATATTATATGTACATAGAAGCATGCGTATCACAAATATAACACGATGTAATAATGCGGTGCATTATGTGGAACGCGTCACTTATGGGTAAATGTACACAAATATGAAACAACAACAACGACAGCGGTAGTGCCATAAGGGGGTTGCAGTGCGGCGAGAAGGCAGCGCATTAACGTCTGGCAACACAAAACGACAGCTGCACAACTCTGAACACACGACATAGAAAGTAGCACATACAGCACCTAACAATATCGGCCGAAGACTCAGCCGTTAACCAACGTGCCACTTACCGACAGTCCAACTGAAGCGACCGGTGCACAATATTGTTTCTTCTGACTCTCTTTCGGTTATGCGTGCACAGCTGTTTTGCGCGCTGAAGCCACAATTGCTGCGCTAGCTGCAGACTTTGCTGATAAAGCCTGCACTCAAAGTGATTACAAAGTAACCCAGAGAGGCCAGCGGTTGGGCTAAGCGCGCAAGCGACTCAGTGAAAAACTCGAGTGAGGAATGCAACTGCCTGGCTGCCGGCTTAGTCACTAGCAGCACGCCATGAGTCAGTCAGACGACATACTTTTTACCAGTTCGACTCAGTTTACTGCTTTGACTCATATGATAGTGCTCACGAGAACTGAGAGCGGCTGTGAGTTGTTTACCTGTAGCCTATTGGCAGTCTTTCGTGAATTGTTGACAAGAAACGCGTTTGACTTGCGGTGCGAGACAACGTGCGCGCATTCGACAAAAGCTACGTAAGACGATAAGGTAAAGACACAGAATGATCGTAGCGTTTAAGACGTGTATATCAGTTAGTGGCAGTAGTTGGGCAGAGACGGGCGCGAACAAATGACGTGTGGGGGTGTACGAAGTAAACAAATGCAAGCAAATGATATATGATTTTGTGAAGAAAACTGGACTCTAAGCGAAAATAATAAACAAAAACGAATAGTTTAGCAAAGCAAGTAAATAAGTGTTGAGAAAGTGCATATGTTGAAGAATTTTATATATGAGTGCTTCATTTATTAAAAATTACTATCGAGCGTTAAACTTCAAAGTCGCAAAAAACCAGCATTTACTATGCCAAATTTACACAAAAGCAGTGTCTCGCCTATGAAAGTTCCAAGTCGAAGAAGAACTTGCTAATTGCTACTAACAAGAGTAGTTATTGTGATGACATGAAAAAAACAACAATAATCTTATGAACAGCAACAGAAAATCACAGTTGACCACAATTCGTTTGGTGCGTGTTTCGAATAAGACAGTCTAAGAAAGTCAACACAAAACAAAACAGAAAGTTCAAAACAAAAAGAAGTGTGTGTAATTCTGAAAAATAAAACGAAAGCTTACAAAAAAGTGTTCGTAAGAAAACAAAGCCTTTGACTTTGTAAAGTCGTCACACATTTTTAAGTGCTTCCCGATTGAAGCACAATTGCCAATAATTTTGGCTACTGACATTTTTTCACTGTATAAACGCCGCCTTTTACGATTTCGAACACCGACATATTTGTATAACGTGTACTCGATACATTTCCAAAGCTCTACAAAGTGCAACGGCTGTGGAAGCAATACTGGTAAGTAAGCTTTAATATATACATTGGCTGATGACGGGTTAAGGACGGCGGAAATAACTGTCTGCACATTTAGGCGAACTAAAAATTGGAAAACTGTGTTAAGAAGGCATGGCAGGTAAACTTTGTGTGGAAAGGCACAGAAATGCGAGAGACATCAGCTCACTAAGGCGACGGATATTTGCGCTTAAAAATCTTAAAAGTCTTAACTTGATATACTTCCTGAACTTTATATCTCAGTGTTGAAATGAAAAACTTAAAGCAAACACTTAATAGCTTTTTACAACAGCATGTAAAGATACTAACAATGTTGTCATATTTTATAGAACTTTTTAAAATATCAAACTTACGTCAACCATTCTTTATGATTATGAAAGCAAATTGTTCATAAAAGATTATTATGCAATCCTACTTGTAGTAGGAATAATGTTATGTTTGTAAGCTGTGTTTTTATCATATTTTTGCACAAAATTTTACATTTAATGCTGGTTATAACTGAAGAACGTAATTTAAGCAATTTTTTAGAATTATTTAAAGTGCTCTTTTATTTAGCTGTTGCCATCCTGAGTCAGAGTTTATACTCCGTCTTTCTGCAGTACTTTTTTCTTTACGCGATTCTGACAGCTTTTGTGTCAGCAAATTTGTTTTTGTTGCCAGCAATATTTAAATATAGCTTGCACTTTCACTTTACTGTTTTGCAAAAATAATGAAACTCGCGCTCATTAAATAACCGCATTTTTGTGCACACCACTGTACAAATATATCACAATTCCCTTCAATAAATACTGTCAAACCTTATCAATTTGTCTGCATTTGCGAGCGTGTGAGTGCCCATTGTTTTAAGCCTTTAATTGCTTATCTCTTTCTACAATGCTGAGTGCTTTAAAAATAAATAAAAGAAAGTGCTAATTGAGAGAGTTTCTAAAAAAAGTAACTATTCTTCGCATGCGTGATATAATTATGAAATTCTAAAGACCTTGATTATATTAAGTATATATATACATACAAACATATGTACAAACAATCACTATCTGTTTTACTACAGCTTGACTATAATTTATTGCTTAATTTGCACTGTCAACTTGTCAAAGCAAAATAATAATCAAAATTGTTCTACTTACTTGTTGAGTGACGACAATTGTGCGCACACTTTAGCTAGCCTTGTTAGACTAAGTGTATACTGGTAATTATACGCTAAAATATCAGTCGGTAATTTCCTATGCGTGCTGGGGTCTGTGCGGCATTCCTTAGGTTCTTTGTGCAACTGGAAGTTGTTTGTTTTCTTATGCTTTCCTGACTGCTGGATTAGCGCTGTCGCTTGTGACTCATTTCTGACTTCGCTGGAAATACATATGCATACATACATAGGTAGCTATGCGTAAGCGCCATAGATCGCGGACACGCCGTTCACTTGTACTTTACACATACGCGACTCCCATACATATGCATGCTCAAAACAGCTGGCGGAAGAATGGCGAAGCAAAATCTTTAACTATTTGATTACTAGTATTAAGAAATTCTATGGTCTATAAACTTTAGAAGATAATATGTAACAAATTAGAGCATACATATTTTTATATTCGAAAACAATTGCTTTTCCTTTTTTTTAAATATAGTCACTTAAAAAAAAATTTGATAAAAAATGTTAATTATTGTATATATAAAATATATTTTTATTGGCTAAAATAATATGATTGAAAACGGTTTATATTGATTTGTGTGACAAATTAAAAAAATAATAAATTAAAAGTCAGAAAGGCGAATTAGTCACGTGATTTTACAACAAATACAGCTATTTAATTCCGAAATGAATAGCTGCTTTATCGCTGCAATAAGTTTACTGAACTTAGTGCGCTATAAAAATAAATACATACATATTTTAAACTAATTGGAAAATATTGGAAAACGTGGCATTAAAATTGCGCAATACAACAATACCGTTATTAATCATTGGAATGAAATAGGTAACGCAATTAAGCCATAATTATGCGGTAAATAATGCAGCATATTTAATAATGCAAGTAAAATTGTAAAAATCATGCATAATACTTAAACTAATGTAAGCGTTTATATGTGCGCTAAAGTGGCACTTAAATGTTAGGGCGTGGCGCCAGGGTGTCAAAATTCAGATTTCTCTACAGCGACACGAAAAATTAATAAAAAAAAATCACTCCAACAAGCGTTTGAATATTCAAAAAATATTTTTATTAAATTCCACAATAAATTTTTGTTTCTTGAGTCTGCAGACGAACTCTGAACTTAGCGCCGATGGAACGCGCATTACCGTCTGCAAAGTGAATCAAAACTTACACATATGTAAAATATCTGATATCTGACTGTGCCTGTATGGAGGATTGGTCGAGGTGGAATCATCTTGTCACTTTCTCCGCTATTGTCCCGACTGAGATTGAAATATCTTGGTAGACAGACATTCGGCTAACTTAGCTAGGCTGAGCTAGCTGTTGTTCATATTAACTGCTTTAAAATTTGTTTTAATAAGACTGAAAGAAAAATCGTGTGTTTGCTATTTAAGAACCAACATAATGTGTACACTTGCGTGCTAACATAAGTGCCATAAAGCGCGGAAAAGTGTTAACGATTGACACAATTATTGCAACACTTATTTACAGCAAGCAACAACAACAAAGTGCACAACATTATGTATTACACAAATGGCCTCAACAAATATCAACTACTAAATAAAAGCGATTTCCTGCAAATCCACACACACTACGCTACACGAAAGCACACACACACACAAAACACTAACAATAAAGCTGAAATGAGACAAAAAAGTGGAATAACTTTATAAAATTCCACCGCCATTTAGTTTTCCATTGAAATTGTGTGAAATGTGGCAAGTTGCATGCGAAAGCGCTAACATTATCGTGACCATTTCGGTAGCGTTTAAGCGACTCATTGACTCATTGCATTTCATTTATGGCGAATCGCTGATCATTTTGTAGAGATTTACAAGCGCAAATGCTATATCAATTCAATTAGACTTATGACAGCAACTAAACTTAATTGCCAATTGTGTGCGCACTGATGCGCATTTACGAGCACGACAATTGCAGTGACGATTGGCCATAACTGTCAACGCTGACCAACGCCTTACCACCTAATGCGAAGTTGGTGTTGACTGTGGGCGTTTCCTTCGCCCGGTAGCCTCTTCGTTTGCTGTGCTTGTGATTCCGTTACATGCGTGTCGCTCTAACGCTTACCGCCGCAGAAGAAACGATCCGCCACCGTAAAACGTGTTTAGCAAGCTTGATGTAGTCTTCCTTTTAAGTAGTCCAAACAAGCTGCATGTGACGTTTCAAGCTTCATGTGACGTTTGATTCTATTAACTCGTCGCGCACTTCAATATACGCATAATCAACAGCTGATGCATCAGACAGCAGTCAACATCAGTTGCTATGACTTTCTTATCGTCGCCTTGACAAGCTATTGTCATTACGATTAGTGTCATTATGTGTACGAACGTAATACAGTTAACGCATAATTGTTGGAAATGCAGCAGCAGCAGCTTGCGGACTGCTAGACACATGCCAACGCTACATGTAACGGTACTCTATGCAGCTGACGTTTGACAATGCACGGTCAGTGTCAACAATCAGTGCGAGCTCAAATAACGCTGACAGTTCGGCGTATAGAAACTCAAGTTTTGTTGCTAATTTCTGTATAACTGTAATATTGACTGGTTAGCTGGTGCAGCACTAGAAGCCAATGACCCAATGGGCGATAATTTTTTTTTTTTTTTTTTTTGACACAAAACTCCAACAATCTGCTGTTGCGTAGCATTATTACTCGTTTTGCCACTTTCTTCTCGGCTGCTTTCGTTTTAGTTCTATGTCAGTTACTGTTATTTCTAAAATAAGTATACCGTATCCAATTTAACGCAACAAATTTGCGTACTTTGAAATGTGTCTATTTTAGTTATCTGCAAGTAATAAAATATATACTAATTGCTCTGAGGTATTTTGTCTTTTTTGTTGAGCTTAAATGACATTTACGAACTTCAACTGATAGCTTGAAATTGTTGCTGACCAAAAGTCGAAAGCAAATCAAATGACACCACATTTGTGCATTCATTTCGGCCATTTGCTGAATGCGTGTGAATGTGTCGGAAAGGGAAAAAACGAAAAAAACAACACAATAAAATAAAATAAAAATGAAAAAAAGAAAACACAATTCAAACACAGCAGTGAACTATACGTTAGAATGGAATGTGTTACGGAAAATAAAATAGAATAATGAAAATATTCAGCTAGGCTTTTCTCTAACAGCTTAAACCACAAACTGATCCCGCAGCAATTTTATTCTGTAGAGAATGTCCAAACTGAAAATATTTTTGTATGTTCACACTATTCTATTAAAAATAAAAAAATAATATGCTACTCTAGTTGGTATGGATGGTAAAAAATACGTGCATACATATATATACTATATATGTACGTATTTATGGGCAAAGTAACAACACTTTTTTATACCCTGAACAGCGCATATTAAATTGGCCACGAAAAAAAAATATATATACATATATAAATGATCAGCGTGACGCACTGAGCATGTCCGTCTGTCTGTATACACGCGAGCTGCCTCATTTTACGAAATTTCGATCTGCAATCATGCACACGTTCTTTACTCTTTAAGAAACTGCTCATTTGTCGGCATCGCTGATATCGAGCCCTTAAAGCATATAGCTGCCATATAAACCGAACGATCACAAGCAAGTTCTTGTATTGCAATATCTTGTATTTCTTAAGCGTATGCAACCGAAGTTAACGTTTTTTCTTGTTTTACCCACAAAGAGTCTCATTGATTTTGGCGCTAAGTTCGCCGACAAATTTAAGACATTGAAAAACGTTTTTATACAAAATGTCGAGAGCTAATCTAGATTGGATGCCAATAGCTGGCTTCTTGCATCATAGCTATACTTAAGTAGAGAGAAAAAATAATATTTAATGCTTTTTTACCTTTAAGTAACAACTTCCGGCGTAGGTACCTACTTCCATGCTCTATATTTCTTCTTTTTATTGCTTGTCTTTTTTGTTATATCAGCTGCACTACAAAATATATTAACTTTATCCACTTCAACATTGTTTTTGTTATTCTCACTGTTATCTCTGTTAAGCACGTGCTGCTATGTTTGCGTTCGACGCCAAATAGATGCGTCTATATTGAATGTTGAACTGTCAGGTACATACATACATACATATACATATATGTACTTACAAAAGTAAGTATTAAATATGTTATTAGATAAATCCATCTCAAAATCATGCCCAAGTATTACCACTTAAATTTAACGATATCTTTATACTCTATTTACTTATTTTAAGCTGTTTGCTTGTTTTTCAAGATGGCTAAAATTTTTGTAATTGAGTTCATGCGAAATAGAAGAAATAATTATAAATTATATCTTCTTATAATAAATTAAATGTTCTAAATGGGTTTTATACATTCGACAAGTGCTGATTACTCAGTAATATATGTACATCTATGCATGTATTTACATAAGCACATTTTGCACGAGCACACCTGCGACAATCTCCTAGTAGGGTTTTCCATAAATATATAATATTACAGCTAATTTCGCTGCTGTGCATCGGTGATAATTAAAAGTTCCATATTTAACAAAATTCCAGTCGAAGCGCAATTGAAATTTAATATAATTTAGTCATTCAAGCGCAAAACAATTTATGTAAATGCAATATCTCACTGACACACATACAAACATATACGCAGCAGAGTATAAACTAAGATGGCAACAGCGCAAAAAGGAGATAAATGACAACAATAATAGCAAAAGTAGCATCAATATTCAACTTTCAAACAATAAATATCTTACGCCTTTGCTGTTAACGTGATCGGATCGGCCAATGTGTATGAGCAAGTGAACGAGAACGGAATGAAAATGCATAGAATTAGTGAAACAAGGCGATTGGAGGTGAAGACAATGTTGACAATTATGTAAACATTCAATATAGATGTACATATAAGTATACATATATACATATAGTCACTGTGTTTCTATAGTAGATGACACACTCGGTGTATTGAATGCGGTCACTCGACTGCAATCACTTGCTTCCCTCTCGTCGCTCAATTACTAGCAGCTTTGGTAGACCCTCACTGCATATCTGTGCGCTTACAACAACGACTTGTTTCCAACTAATTGTAGCTTAATCATCACAGCCACCATAATATTTGTTGACGGAGATGTGCTTCATTGCGCGGTGATGTTCAAAGTTCTTTTCATATACATAACTATAACCGGTTTGAGGTGTGGAGCAATGAGGAACTGAAATAATTGAAGTTTATATATTTGTAACTAATTTAAAAATCGAAATATTTGCAAATTAGCTGGCCGTAATTGCGAATTTACGCACTTGTCGTGTAGATGAGCTGGAAGCGATTCGAGTGGTCAATGACAACAATTTAGATAACAAGCCGCGGGCAAGTAGCAACGGCAACACAAGTAAGCATGGCCGCACGAAATATTTTGCAGTAATTGCGTACTTTAGCTAAGAAAATAAAAACGCTGAAGCAAAAATTAAAAAAAGACAACACAACAAATACTTAAATATCTTCAAATTTTTTTTAGTCGCCATTCAAGTACACTTAAGTACAAAATATAACTAATTTGCTTAATGCGCATGCCTATCGAATTTTAATTAAGAAGTTTCTTTGCCCAACTAGCAAACACTTGAGTATTTAGGTCGTCTGTTCCTTAGCGGCTTTGTGGATTATCAAGCTAAAGACGTTCGTGTAATCCATGTAGCTTCACGTGCTTGCCAATATCCAATTAATATTCGCTCATAGTAATGGTAGCTAGCGTTGCCGCAGTATGCAGTGTCGGCGGTAACGGTAGCAAGCGCTGTCGATGTTGTGTGTTGTAAGTATTTACTGTTGAGCGCAGCAGGTTTATTATGGCCAAAGAGTCATTAAACCACAAATGGCCGCAAAAAACAACACCCAGGCGCTGTTACTAATGACACCAATACGAGTATGGTGTAAATTTAGATAGGTCATTCAGTTCCTTCTTACTGTCTCATTGCTTTTGCTTGACGCTTATTCTACGCTTTCTTTGGATAAATAAAAATAAAAAATCTATAAAAGGAAAATGCCAGCAATGACCGACATTTGGACTTACAAGTCTATTAGTTTGTGGTTTTTGTGTATGAAGCCATTTTCCTTTTGCTAATTAGCATATGACAATCTGATTAGGTTGAGTGTACAAATAACTAATAATGCACTTGGTCTATGCGAATTTTATGTAATTTATTAAAAGATTTAATAAAATATGACAACTGGGTTTAAAAATATGGCCGCAAGAGGATGCTACATATAAAAAACATATTTAAAACACGTTAAATTTACAACCAAAAAACATATATATTACTTTTTCAAGTAACCAAAAATATTTATGCATGCTTGAGCCGACAACAATACTGTCAGTAAGTCTCATAAATAATTGAATATTTTTAAAGTCATCACCCTGTTTAGGAATGTAAATTGATCGCTTATTGTCGCCACGTGATGTCGCCCTTCACAGTAGTTGCACCTATGATTCATAATAATGTCATGTTTGTAGTGCTAGCTTTCTCGCTCCCACTTTTTTCGGCCACTCGTATGTCAGTGCTGCCTTTTCGGTTGCACTACGGTGTTTAGCTATTGGCGTTGACAATAGTGTGAAAATTCATCAGCGCAGACGACTTTGGAATAGAATAAGCAGTGAATAAGTGTTGAGTTAAATTTGCGGATAAATTTATATGCAAAGCAGGTGGAGAAAAGTTCTTTTAATTTTTAATTGCAAAAATTAATGCTAGAATTATTAATGTGTAGCGAAATTTTGTAAATTATGTGCTAAATTGGAATTTGGTGCTGGAGCACAACCGCAAGAGTTAGCTGAGTACGTGTCGGAACAGATGGTGATACGCGCATTACGCTGATTTCTCTGTTATAAGAGGCTGGAAAGTTTTTAATAAAATAATAAATCGATCCTCAACAGTTCGCGTTCCAATATCTTTTCGTTTGTGGGCGTAAGCAAGTGCGCTTTTTTCGTTTGGAGACCAACTTTAATGTTGAAGTTTTAGAAATTTTTAGTATATTTTCACATTGTGAGTATTAAAAACAGTACAAAAAAGTTGCAACAGTTAATCATCATGTTTACTCGATCTTCAAACATATATTTGACGGATGATTAATACAACAGATATTTCATTTAATCATTATCTTTAGATATATATATGTATATATATATATATATTTGTGTTTATGTAGAAATTTCAAACGTTTGTATAAACAATCATATCAGCTGTTTGCTTTTGTGTCAATATGCTATGCGCTATTCAAGGTGAAAAGTTGTGAATTCCATATTAACGCGACGAAATGACGACATACTTCCAATGCCAAATTATGTACTGATTTACTTTGCTAAACCAAGCTTATTGAAAGCTCAAGTATTTGTAGCTTAGTATATAGAGGAGCTAAAACAATTATCCGTTACAAGCTTTTTTAATTACTATTAAATATATTTATTGTAAATTCTGTATTTAAATTTTTTAAGTGTCAAAAGTCCATACACTGCCGTTACCCTTGGTGCATAGACGACGCTTGCCATACGTCAAGATAAGCGGCAAATTATTAAAGATAAAATATCTGCTACGTAAGAGGCTAGCCAATAAAATGCCGATAAGTCAAGCAGGAAGATAGATTAGATTACATTCCACTGCCGTATGACTGTGACTTCCTAGCAATTATGAAAAGAATTTTCAATAAAAATAATGCTTTAATGCTCTTCAATGCTTATACGAATATGTGCTCATACACATTTGCACTAATAATCATATGTGTACATATGTATGCAACGCTAATTGACAGCAATTCATTCTTCCTTTAGTTAAGTAGTGAAGCTACTAAGTAGCACGTTTTCGTTATGCCTTACATAAATCCGCCGCCAACCAATGGCTACCATAAGCATATAAACAGTTTTGTTTTCGATTTTTTTTTTAATGTAATTTGAGAAATTTCTCCATTTTATTCACAGCTAATTCAGAATGTTGACCACTTGACTCGCCAACTGTGCATAAAAATAGTTTTTGACCTCATACGTAGCGAAGTCTGTTTCCAAATATATTGCTCGCGGTCTGTTTTGACAAAAGCATTTAAAATGAACATTTAAAAATATGGTAGCTATACTTATACTCCATAACAAGTGATGTATGTATAGATGTTGAAAGCGGCAGCACAGAAAACTGTCATTCGCGCTAGTTTACTTTTGTGTTTGCTTCGAAGGCAATATATATACATATGTACATATATACAGAGTATACTCACCTTTGTATATGTTTTTACATGCTTTTTGTATTAAAATCTTTTTACTTATGCAAAAGTGGCGTTTCCTGGTTGGAATGGCGATATCAACTAGTATTACTCTAACGTTGCAATTTTTGCCGAAATTATAACACATTTTCTGCCACATTACATATATAATGTGTATGTACATATGCATATATGAGTTTATTATTTTGCAGTTATATATGCATTAACTACAGTTATCTTTCATTCTCTATAAATTTACGAATCGAACTCTGAGCATAAGTTTTAATGGTTTGCTGAAATCGTTAGCATTTGTTGTGTATGGCGCTTGGGATGACACATATCACTTTCAGTTGAGATTTCAGCCACTTGCTCATCCAACAGACAGGCAATGAAGTGGGTGAGTGCGCATGAGATTGACAATGCTTCGACCACACCTTACCATATACCCATAAACGGTGCAACGGCATTGCACTTGTACGCGTCTGGCATTTTTATGCTGAACATTTTGCTTGGCAATTTTATTGGTGCCCATATACTCTCTGGTGCGCTTTCGAGTTGAAAGAGAAATGCACAACAAAAGTTTAGATGCTTCATTGGCTTGTCTGTTGACAGGCCACCGTTCGACTGTGTGCCGTTGCATACATATTCACTTGCTGAATACGTAACCTTTACACTAGCACACAATATACAAATGCTTTGCTACTTTCAGTAGTGTCATTCTGCTACTATTTTAGTTGGGAGTTACTGACTAATTTAAAATTTTGAGGAGCCTTAGAAAATAAAACGCTTAAAATATTAATAAAACCAAATTTAATATAAATGTTGCAACTTTTTTTTGCCTGCTTTTGAATTTAGTGCAAAGTAGGTTTGCCAATTTTGACTTTCTCTTACCAACTTTCAGAACTCTAACTGACGCTCTGTAGCATACAGAGACCAGCACACCACACACACGTGTAAAACACATACACATACTCGGCATAATGGCAACTGGTGAGAGAGCGGATGCCATTGAAATGGAAACGGTTAACCGACAAAACTCTACTGGGCCGGCGACAGTTGATAATGTTGCCAGCATCTCGCCTGCAACTTCGAAGCCGTCCACACCACCGCCACCACTTGTCAACACTGTCACCACAACGCCGCTTGTCACGCCGGCGAAGAAATTATCTGCTGATGAAACCTTAGCACAATTACAGGTCGTACATCAAAGCACGAATGTCGTAAATAGTATATTACCTGCTGCGCCGTCGACGTCACGCAACTTTTATAGTGAGGCAGCTGCGGCGCACGGCGGCGATGAGTCTACACGACTGATGCAGGCTGAAATGGAAATAAGCGCGGCACAGCAGCAGCGCTTACGTAGTGCCAGTTCGACATTAGACGCCAGTATATCGAGAAATCCGTCAGCGGCGGGTAAGCATGAGAAGAAAATTGGACATCGGCGCGTTGATGAAGGTGGCGAGGTGACGTACAAACGTATACAATCTAAGCAAATAATGGGTTCCATTCAGTTGGGCATACAACACACGGTTGGCAGTTTGGCCAGCAAACCTAAACGGGACCTGCTCATGAAAGACTTTTGGGAAATGGAAACAATAGCGTTTCCACCAGACGGTTCATCGATAACGCCAGCTCATCATTATAGCGAATTTCGTTTTAAAGTTTATGCGCCAATTGCTTTTCGATACTTTCGCGATTTGTTCGGCATAGCACCCGACGATTTTCTCATGTCAATGTGTGCTTCACCGCTGCGTCAACTATCGAATCCAGGTGCATCCGGCTCGATATTCTATTTGACCGACGACGATGAGTTTATCATAAAGACAGTGCAGAAGAAGGAATGTGAATTTTTACAAAAACTACTGCCAGGCTACTACATGAACCTGTCACAGAATCCGCGCACTCTACTGCCAAAATTCTTCGGGCTCTACTGCTTCCACTACAATGCGAAGAATGTGCGCCTGGTGGCGATGAACAATCTATTGCCTTCTGATATCAAAATGCACGCGAAATATGATTTGAAAGGCTCCACATTTCGTCGCAAGGCATCGAAAACCGAACGCCAGAAAGCCAGTCCCACCTTCAAAGATTTAGACTTCATGGATCATCATCCGAATGGTATTTTTCTCGAAACAGACAAATATAACGCACTCATAAAAACAATTCAGCGAGATTGTATGGTTCTAGAGAGTTTCCAGATAATGGACTACTCGCTGTTGGTGGGCATACACAATCTGGACTTGGCGCAAAAAGAAAAACGTGAGGAGCGCATACGTAATGCACGTGCCAAACTGCAACGCTCCGAAGAGGTGCGCGAAGCACCGGAGCCGCCAGACTTCGACCAAACGATGAATGCAGGCTCAACTACAGCGTTGCAATCGGCTGGCACCGCACTGAATCGCTCGCGCAGCATGAACCGCCAGCGCTTGGTAGCGCATTCTACGGCACTCGAATCCATCACCGCCGACATGGATATACCCATGGAGGAGGACGAAGATGTGCCAGCGGGCGGTATACCAGCACGTTCCGAGAACGATGAACGTTTGATTCTCTACATTGGTATAATCGATATCTTGCAATCGTATCGTTTGGAGAAAAAGCTCGAGCACACTTTCAAAAGTATCATTTACAACGGCGACACGGTGTCGGTGTGCCGACCATCTTTCTATGCGCAACGTTTCCAAAATTTCATGGGTAAAACTGTGTTCAAGAAGACGCCCACCTTTCCGCTGAAACATTCCCCGTCGAAGCGAAAGAGCTCGACAACGTTGCGCACACCACAACGCACGCCATCACAGAATTTAGCCTCGCATACACGCCCACCGCTGTTGTCCGGTTCATCGACGCCGCCACCAGCCTTCGATGATATTTCCGAAGAAGATATTACCGCTACACCCTCCACGACGGGCGGCATGTACCGCAACTCGACGCTAAGTGGCGGACGTCCAAACTTGGCGCCGCAACGCTCCTACCTAAGTTCCAATCGCAGCGCCATAAGCAGCGCCACCGACGATTACAGCGACGATGAGGTAGCCTCCAGCAGTGGCGCGCGTTCGCCCACACGCCGTGCACGATCGCCGAGGCTCTCCAAAACCGACGTACAGGTAACCACCGTTGGCTGCATTGAAGACACGCCGGTGCATGTGCACGACGGCGACAACAATGGCATCGTCGTAAACACCAAGTCGGGTGTACTCATGAACAGTACCGAGGAAATCAACGCTAACGGTACACAACAATTAACGCGAAAGACAACGCTCGTGAAGGCGGTCCAATCGCAAACCTACACAACCACTTTGGTGCTGAACGATGTCAGATGAGTGCTGAACAGCGTCTGTAGCGCTTTGGGTGGCGGTGATGCTGGGATAGCAGGAGAACCAGCACATGTAGTAATGAAAATGACAGTGTGATTAGCAAAAATATGATTTAAATAAACGAAAAGTTGAACGCCGCGACAGCCGACAACACTAATTGTAGCTAAACGGACAAACGCCTAACGTCTGGGGAGGTAGCGAGCGTGGCATGCGCAAATGCCAGCCATCATATACCAAGTGCGCTTAATACTACTATAAAAAATCGCTTATTTATTAGAATTAATGTTAGCTAATAAATGTACTCGAAGTCTGCGGCCATTGTGCAGAGTTGCAAGCGCGAGTAGTTCCATGCAATAACGGTTGTTTTTATTCGCCTGATTAGTGCCTGAATATTTCAGTTATCAAAAGTGTTGCTGCGTTGGTGCTTGCTGCCTTATGAATCGAAAAACGCAATCTACTTTTAAGCTTTATGTTTCCTTGAGTATTACTTTCGATATCTGCTTTATTTAATTTATGCTTATTTGTGCCTATCATTGATATTATTTAAACGTTTTCTTTTCGTTGACTATCTTAAACTCATTGACCAATACGAGCGATTAGAATGATAAATAAATAATGATATGCTAACATACATGCACTTACTTATGGCGCAGGCGCAGTGTAACTGCGTCTATTAGAAAAAAATGATATTTATTTATTTTAAGTGTTGCGGTGATACAGATTTTTGTTGTTAGAAAACGTTTTCATATGAAAAATTACACGAGCTATTTTCGCTAGTAAGGCGTTCGTTAAAGTTGGCTAACGGATTAACCACTGGTATTAGTAATAATCTAACTACATTGCTATTATAAATTTTAGCTCTAATATTAGTTATTTAGAATGTATTTATCCTACTGATTGTAAAACAACATTAAGAGTCTACTATAATCATAGTATTACACCGCGAACCGACACAAAACGCAATCTTTATATTTTTATGTACATACATATGCTATAAATAAATGAATGTAATTTTTCAATAAAAAATTATAAAAAAGTAACCATTAATTTTTGCTGTTGTGTGGCTGCACTTGCTCATAAATATATAAATATACAAATATGTACATTAGGGTGGTCTCAATCACTGCGGCAGTGTAGCAAGGCATAATAGATTCTGTTAAAGTTTGAGCTCTTAATATTAATATTAATAGATGGCGCATTGTGATTTTTCATTTCCCACATAACACAGGAGTATTTTCTTAGTTTGCTTGGATGTTTAGCGCATTTGAACAAATTATTGTGTAATATTCTTGTAGTGAATTTAACGATCTACAAAAATGGTCTAATATGATTTCATGCTAAATCGACTTGTCCAAGAGTTGTTCGAGGTCAAATTCCAACCTTAAACCGAAGATGTTAATTTTAAATATATTTTTATATTTTTTTAATGTATTTATTTAAATTTTTTTATATATATTTATATTTATGTAAATATTATTTATATTGTTATTTTTTTTAATTTTTTAATATGATTTTTTATTATAATTTTTTTTTTTTATTAAAATTTTTTTTTTTATTATAAAATTTTTTTTTTATTATAAAATTTTTTTGTTATAAGTTTTTTTTTATTATAATTTTTTTTTGTTATAAGTTTTTTTTTATTATAATTTTTTTTTTATTATAATTTTTTTTTTATTAAAATTTTATTTTTTTTTGATGTTAATTTTTTAAATTTTTAAAATTTCTTTTATTCTATATGTAATTTTCTATAATTTTTTTAATATATATTTTTTAAATATACATTTTTTTAGTATATTTTTAAATATATTTTTTTTAATATATATTTTTAACATAAATATTTTTTAATATATTTTTTTAAAATATTTTTTTAATATATTTTTTTTAATATATTTTTTTAATATATTCTTTTAATATATTTTTTAATATATTTTTTTAATATAAATATTTTTTATTATATTTTAATGTACATATATATTTCATATTTTTTTATATTCCTTAAAATATTTTTATTGTATTTTCACGGTATACCTATAAGGAAAAAGATATTTTTTGGACCACCCTCATCTACAGTTCTGAGTTGAGTTATGAACGCATTTGCCAGCTTTCAGCGCTCATTGTGCGCCACAGTTTGTTTTCATCAATTGCGTGGCGTTATTATTTTATTATTATTGCATTATTTCTTATGCAATTGTTTACAGTGAATTAAAAAAAAATATTATTGCCGCATATCCGGCAAACCATATTGAAGCGACAGGACTTTGCGTCGTTTACGCTTGCGCTTAAGCTCTTTTTTACTCCCCCTCCCCTCCGCCATACATACACAAGTACATATGTATGTAGGGGATATGCCATAAGGCTGTGTAAGCCCAGCTAGGTGCGTTCGTGTGCGATTGCTAGCGCATAACGATCAATCGCATTCAACGAAACTATTTTATTTTCCTTTGACTCGCTCAACGGCATTTTCGTTTTGTTCATATTTTTCCCCATTTAATTGAGGAAACTCAATAATAAGTAGTATTGTGCTGAAACTCGGACGAAAAGCGAAAAATTTTATGAGCGCCGACAGTTGCAAATTGCATGCCTGCATGCGTGTACGTGGCGTATCGGTGTTGGCCGCACGCATAAATTAATATATTACTCATACGCTCCGTCGCACGACCGCTTTCATGCATACACCGGCCATATTCCAACACAATGGCAGCGCGTACAGTTGGTACTTTGCCGTGAGTTACCAACTTACTCATGCTCCCACACACACACACACACATGCACTGGCGCTTAACTACTTTGCGGCACATAATATGAGCTGATTTCTGCGCGGGATCAACAAAATTAATGGGGTTTTCGACAAGCTCTTGTGTTTGCACACATTCACACATCCTCGTGCGCTGCTGCATGTGTGCGGCGGCGAGAGCGGGGGCAGTCGATTGATATTACTTTTGTACAACTGGCTGCCAGCGCAATAATCATTAAGCATAATAGAGCGGTAAATATTAATTGAAAAGTGGTAAAGTAGAAAGTAATGCGCGCACGCGTGTGTGTGCGTAACAATATGTATTGGCTACTATTATTGTTGTTGTAGTTGCAGCGATAAAAACATTGTTTCGCCGCCGCAAGTTTCTGTAGTAAACGCACCAACAACAATGGCCAAGTGCGCGGCCTCATTTTCGCATTTCGCCTTTTCCATTTAATTTTTCTTCGATAATAAAATCCGTTATAATTTGGAAGCGCCGCATGTATTGGTATGTTATTATGAGCATTCTTACAGCGTGTGTGTTGTTTTTGCTTGCCACTGATGTTGCGCGTTGTTGTTGTTGGGTGTGATTGGCTATATCGGAGTGGCCACGACGTTGTGGAAGTGTGTAGGTGCAGCGACCACAACATGCCTGGCACGTGCAACCAAAAACAACTGCTGTTAAACAACGTACACATGTATACAGACACAAACATACAACCTTATACGTTAGGGCTTGTGCGCTCGCTGTCTTATTTATGGTGTGTGTGTGTCTGCTCCACAAAGAGTTCGCCTATCTTATGTAGCGGCAGCTCCATGCAGTTGCAAGCAAACGCAGCGCAATTACACCGCAGTGAGCGCTGACGTATTTCGGCTACAATTTAACACATGCCAATAGCAGTGTTGAAATCTTAATTAATCTTCTCGCGTGCGCTGCGCAGTTGCCCGATAAAATGGCCCATTGACTTCATCGTTTCGATATGATTTACGCTGCTTATGGGATTTTATGAGCGCTCCCTCTCTGTGTCTTTGCTCTCTGCTTTAATTCAACATCCCTTTGTTTTTAATTGTAGAGCTCTTTGGCCATCAGGCCATAAAAGACAGTACGGCTAATTAGTTTATAGCTGAGTAAGCTGAGGTGGCAGGCAGTGGCCCATACTCATTTGATGTTATTAAATTTTGTTACAGCCTAAATAAAACAATTTTTCGGGATTAAAAAAATCGCTATAAATTATTTATAATTTTTATTTGAGTATTTTTATATAGCGGTTTTAAGAATGCACAGAAAAATATTTATAAATTCAATTATATATTTCAATATAAGCTCAATATTTCTTGAGTTACACGCGATCTCCGACGGGCTTAAGTATAAAGGTCCTCTTCTAGTGCGGAGATTTCGACCTTCTCTATGGATAAAAGCTTAAAAAAAAGATATTCTCCATAAAATCTTTAGTCGAAAAAAAATTAAAAATGACAGAAGCGTGTTTCGAAAAAAAAATTTAATTTTATTCAACATTTTCATCGTTTTTATCTTGCCAAAATCGAATTGTGATTAGCTTAAAAAACTGGTAGGTCATTGTATGGATAACTACATACGGAACAAGTAAAAAAATGATTGAAAAGTGTTTATTTGCTGCTTAGTGCAAATTTGAAAAAATGTAGTTTCGAAAAAAAATGCGTTTAAAGATAAACCGATAAAGCTGATTGAACTGAGTGAATACTCTTTAGTTTGTAAAATATTTTTGAAATATTCATTTAAAATTTTGGTATGATATTTTTTTCAAAATTTGACGCTAGTTTTTCCATTTAAGCTTTTTTACGATTTTTAATAAATAATTTAATTTTTTAAGTAACGAATTATTTGCATGCACTTTTAAAAGCAAAATTTTCACTACAACAAATTTATTTGAAGTAAGAAATATACTTTCTGCTTAATCTTCTTTTCAGCCTCAAACATATTTTATATTTTTAATTTTCAATACCGCCTGAAAACTTTGAGAAAACAAGGAAACCACATTCAATTCACTTGATTTTGTGCAATTTTGATTGCTCACAGCAAAATCCAATCGAAATATTCGGTATTCGGTATTTGATAAAGGGCATTCGGTTTTAATATTAGGTACTTGATTCGTGGTGCCCGGTATTCAGTACTTGGTATTCGGTATTTGATATAGGGTATTTGGTTTTAATACTTGGTACTTGATTCTCGGTCCTCGGTATTCAGTATTTGATATTCGGTATTTGGTATTCGGTATTTAGTATTCGGCAGTTAAAATTGGTATTTAGTACTCGATATTCAGTATTTGGTATTCGGTATTCAGTATGTGATATTCAATATTTAATACTGTTTGTGTGGTATTCGGTATTTGTTATTTGATATTTAGTTTTGAATGTTTGATATTTGTTGTTTAATAATGTGTATTCGGTATTTGATAAACTATTTTCTTCATATTTCGTGGCATTGAAGCTGCAATATTGAAAGCAAATATTGAGTAAATACTTTTAAATAACCACATGTATCCTTGATAATCAACAGAATTACAGCAGTAATGAATTAAAAGAATTAAAATACAATTTTTGATTTATTTTGGTATTTAATTTTTAAGAATTGAGTTGAAACTAATGAATCTGTTCATTGTGGAATGAAAATTATATTTAGAATATTACACAATGAGTTGCAATTTCAATAGCATTATAAACAAACAACTTGTTTGCACTAAAACCCTAGCATACCTTAAGGTGGCACATTAGTGTTGGGTAACTTTGCAGCTACTGTAAACAGCAGAGATTGGCCTACAATATATAATATTTTAAATATTTTTCTATACTTACTATGCTGTTATATACAGTATACAGGTATATTATTGAAAACAATTTTATTTTATAAAAAATTTCAACTTTGCTTGTTTTAACCCAAATTTGTTGCACACATTCGCATATTAATGCGTTCCACTGTTGAGTGGAGTTGGCGAGAAGAATATCTTCCAACTCATATTTGTTATTCTCATTGACTAGTGCGGCACATGGAAAATATTTATGTTTTCAGAAAATTTGTGCAAATTTAAGAGCGCATACATATGTTTATGCAAGCAAACACAAATATGCACAGCATAGTGCTCTTAAAAACACAACTCTGCATTGTATTGGCATTTACTGTGTGTGGCAAAAGTACGAGTATGCCAACAATTCGATTTGATTGAATGCAAATTGCTACAAAATAAAAGAAAACTGCAATTTTCTACACAAACTGAGCAACAATATAGATTTATTATATATATTTGATTGGCGAAAT